GGCCGGGTCGCCCCTCATACATACTGACCCTACGCTTGCTGAGGCACCCCCGAACCCCCTTTTTACAAAGAGGCACCACTTTTCCTCATACAGCCAGTTCCTTCTTTTATTAAGAGACCCACCTTTTTGCAAGACACCCCTTTTTACAAAGAGACCCCACTTTGGCTGAGACAGCCCTTTAAATAAAGAGAGCCCAAATGTGCTGAGACACCCCTTTTACAACGACACCCCATTTCTGTTTAGACACTCCTTATAACGCTAGTCCCTACCTTTTCTGATAGACACCCCTTTACACAGCTTGTCCCTCCCTTTTGCTGGGAGACACCCCTCTTTATTAAGAGTCCCCACTTTAGCTGAGACTCCCCATCTTAAGCTTAGACCTGCTTTTGCTGAGAGTACCCCCCTTTTTCGGAGGAGACCCCACGGCCTGTGTTGTCTGTGTAGGGGTGCCAGGCAATCGCAACGAGATTTTCTACGACTGCTGCAAGGAGCCGTACCCCGATGTCACCTTCGTGGTGACCATCCGGCGCCGGACGCTGTACTACGCCCTGAACCTGCTCATCCCCTGCGTGCTGCTGTCCTCCATGACGCTGCTGGTCTTCGTGCTGCCCGCGGACTCGGGGGAGAAGATCTCGCTGGGTGAGTCTGTGGGAGCGCAGTGTCCACTCATGGTCGAGTCCTGGAGCACAGGCTGTCCTCTCTGGACAGCCAGGTCTGACAGTGTCCAGTGAGCCTGTCCTCTCTGGACAGCCTGGTGCATCTGTGTCCAGTGTCTGTATCCAGGCTGTGGTCACTGAGCCTGTCCTCTCTGGACAGCCAGGTCTGTCTGTGTCCAGTTTCTATGTCCAGGCTGTGGTCACTGAGCCTGTCCTCTCTGGGCAGCCAGATCTGTCTGTGTCCAGGGTCTATGTCCAGGCTGTGGTCACTAAGCCTGACCCCTCTGGTGAGTCAGGTCTGTCAGTGTCCAGGGTCTGTGTCCAGGCTGTGGTCTTTTAGCCTGACCCCTCTGGACAGACAGGTCTGTCAGTGTCCAGGGTCTATGTCCAAGCTGTGGTCACTGTACTTCATCAGGATCTGTTTATCCTCGCTGTTCAGATATTCTGCTTGTGTGTATTGTCTGTTTAACATTCCTTTAACATTCTCTCCTCTCTCTGTCCCTCTCTCTCTCCTCTCCTTCTCCAGACTCTTACAGTCCTTACCCTCTCCTCCCTCTCTTTCCCTCTCTCTCCTCTCCTTCTCCAGATTCTTACAGTCCTCACCCTCTCCTCCCTCTCTTTCCCTCTGTCCCTCTCCCTCTCTCTCTCCTCTCCTTCTCCAGACTCTACAGTCATCACCCTCTCCCTCTGCTCTCTCTGCAGTCTATATACTACCCCCCTCTGACAGCTCTGCTGGCCTCAGCACCCTGCTGTGCTTCACTGGGAGTGTGTGTGTGTGTGAGAGTAGGAGTAATCCTTCACTGTGATTCTCCACCCCTCCCCTCTCTCTGTCTCTCTGTCTCTGCAGGGATCACAGTCCTGCTGTCTCTCACCGTCTTCATGCTGCTGGTTGCCGAGATTATGCCGGCGACGTCTGACTCCATCCCTCTCATCGGTGAGTCTGGTGCCTCTGTGTCACTCGGACTCCCCCACCCTCTGTCCCCCTGCTCTTTCAAATGGTCAGATTCAAGTTTAAAAGAGCTTTATTCACTTGATCAATGAGTTACTGCGGTGCCAAAAACCAAAGGAATATAGCAATTAACACATCAATTTGCAATAAAATCATCTTGTTGTACATTTGCATTCAGTCCATCGCTTACAGTGAAGCAGTACAGTCTGCTCCACAGGCTCTGATCGGAGATGGCACAGTCGCTCAGGTGTTACTGTCTCCCTGCGCCCCTCTCTCAGGCCAGTACTTCGCCAGTACCATGATCATCGTGGGCATGTCCGTTGTGGCTACAGTGGTGGTTCTGCAGTACCATCACCACGACCCGTCTGGGGGAAGGATGCCCAAATGGGTGAGAGCTCCTCCGCCTTCCCTCGGCCTCCATCTCCACTCCACAGGCCAGGCCAGAGCCCGGAGCGTCTCGGAGCGTCACTGGTGTGACGGAGGGGGGAACGTTGCTGCCAAGGCAGATACCATCAGCACAACATCTGCTGACGTTTTACAGTACTGTCACATCATCCGACATTTAAATACAACATGCAACACGTAGAACATTATTGAGAGACGGGCTCACTGTCTGTTCCTCAGGCTGGGACAGGAGATCACACACTGTATTATTATTATTGAGAGACAGGCTCACTGTCTGTTCCT